TTAAAACCCAGGAGGGCATGGAGCTACCTGCCAGAGAGCAGCAGGTAAGCGCATGGTCCCTCCTGCTAGCCCTCAATGTCTACGTGTATTTAAAATTGAGAGGTGGGCAACGACGCCAGGGGTGGTAGGACACTTGATACCTCCAGATGAAACAGCTTGGCAGGTAATTTTGGACCTAAAGGACATTGTTGAACTAGTTGTTGCACCAGTACACACAGAACAATCAATTGCTTTCCTTGAGTCTAGAGTCTCTGACCCCAGATGTAGGTTGAAAGAGCTGTTTCCAGGACTGAAGCTGTTACCAAAACATCATTTTGTGGAGCATTATCCACAGATGATTAAATTCTTTGGGCCACTTGTTGGCATGTGGACCATGAGGTTCGAGGCAAAGCACAGTTTTTTCAAACAGGTTGTTCGTCACACACGGTGCTTTAAAAATGTGCTACTGTCACTGGCAGTGAAACATCAGTTCATGATGGCATACCACTTGGAGTCTGTCACAACTGTAAGGCCGAGCCTAACTGTCTCAGCTGTTTCTACTGTCTCTGATGACATTCTGCATCATGATGTACAGCGAGACTTGAAGATTAAATTCCCTGATATTACCCATATTCAGCTCACAAGGAATGCTTCTGTGAATGGAACAAACTACAGACCCGGCATGATTGTAGCTGAAGCTGAGAGTCTTCGTGGCAGATGATGATTTCAGGAGACTTGACGTTCCATCAGGGATGCCAAGAACTTTGACTGATCTTCAGAGCACAATTCGCCAAGCATTTGGAATTGAAACAGACTTTCGTATTCAATTCATGGATCCTGACTTCAACAATGAGTTTATGAACATAACATCAATGCAAGACATTCAAGACCGAAGTACAATCAAACTTGTGTACATGGCAAATCTGGATACAAGTGCATCTTTGTCAAAGCAGTATCCCACATGCAGTCTTGACTCATCTGCAAGTCCACAAAGTATTCAAAGAAACTCCAGTCTCTCATCGTCTTCATCCAACTCAGACAGCACCATAATTCTACCACAGTCAGACAGTGAGCTGAGATCATGTGCATGGCCTCGCGAGTTTACTATTCCTCGATTTTCATTCAATGTAGAGGTGCAACTTCAGCGTGGAAATGAGACCTTCAGAGAAACTGGAACTCGGCTCAAGATTACTTCAGGTGTTAAATCTGACATCTTAGAGAAGCTTGCTGAGGCGATTTTTCAGTTTACTGCTTATCCTCAAAATTACCAAAATAGATGAAGTTGCAGGGGCACTGATCAAAAAATTTCCTTGTCTGCGAGAGCCATCTGCCACGGGTTACTATGGCTGGATGATTAGCCTGAAATATAAGATGGCTAATTACAGGACAAAGATGCACAACATTGGCTGTCCTGACGTGACTATAAATGCTTTGAAAAACAAATCCAGTGATGATTGCCTCGTAGCCAAAAATGTTAAGAAGCCTAAAAAGGCCGAGGTCAATTTTTGTCTATTACACCCAGACAGTCTAGAAAACATCAGGGTTGAGCTTTTGACCGACGTCAGACGAAGAAACGGATGTCAGAAGATGTCAAGAACATTTTCCTACCGTACACAAGAGGTGGTGCAGGGAAGTCCAACTGCTGGGGAGTTTAAAGCTAGGTGGCCTGAACTTTTCCAGATTAATGAGGTAAAGGCATGCTTTTTTTTGCTGAGTGTTCTTTTCAGTAATTCCTTATGTTATACATTAATTAATCTGGGCCACTTGGATTAAGACGAGTCCACATATAGGTATAAAGAGGCTGGCATTTATAGTTATTGTGTCGTTAAATGCTTGACCTGTGTATCATACAGAGTATTTATTTGAGCAGCACTTAAAATACAAGTTGTGTATGAAAAACATAAGTGACTTAAAGTGTAGAAACATGAATAAAATTAATTTTTGATTTTTCGTATAAATACAAAAATATTTGATTATTTAAGTAAGTTTGGGCTACATATAGGGCCCAAACTATTTTATAGTGAGTTTAATTATTGAAATGATTGATTAATCATCTCAATAATTAATAGAGTGAGATTGAGTGTAATCAGATTATCAATTGTGAATTAACCTAAAACTTTTTATTTAGCTATTAGTTTTTAGTTAGCCTCAGATTGTTTAAAGCATGTGCCAAACAAGTGTAAATTAAAAATGTGATGAACAAACTTTGTTGCTCATAAGATAAAAAAATAAATGGGTCAAGTTAAAACCCCTAAGACCTCTCACCACCGAGAGGATTTTTCAGAGCACTCCTATTGACATCACCATCATAGCCAACTCCTAAACTGTTTAAGACATCCAGGATAAAAGATTTAAAAAAAACTTGCAAAAGTGAAATAAAAAACAGGAATTTAGTTGGTGTGAGTTAAGAGGATGTAGAGAATAGGGTTAGATGGAGGTGGATCATTCACTGTGGAAACCTGAAGGAAACTGCCAAGAGAAAGAGGATCAGAGAGCAAAAAAATTGAGGTTTGTGTGCATACATGAGTCTTTACGGTACCCACAGGACTTCTGGGACACATCGTCAGTAGTGACCTTTAAGTGGAGTGTGTCACTGGTTTATGTTAACTTGTTATTTCTCTTCTTCTTTCTTCTGTTTAGTTCCGTACAGTTTATTTTTTTTAAACGTTATGAGATTTTGTTAAAAATTTCTTCTATTAATAACCAGGTCACTTTTGTTTTGTTTGTCTTTTTATATATTTTTTGTAAATGACAAAGTCTGATGATGGTTCTTCCTGGTGCTAGAATATTGGTCAATTTAAAACACACCTGTATTGTTCCATCATTGAAGAAATAAGTAACTCGCATAACACCAGCAAGAATAGGAGCTGTTGCACCAAAAGATCAACATATTGAATGATGGTATGGAACAGTAAATAGAATATGACACCTCAATATCTACATTTCTTTTAAGCTGGCCACTCCCTGCTGATGCTTTTTTTTAGGAGAAATGTAAATAATCACCTGCTGTGACATCTCAGCCCTCCTGCAGATATAAGCAGTGTACCTGGGGCACTCGGACACACTGAAGTTGAAGAAACAAAGAGCATTCGGTTAGACTCACAGGTGAGTTCACACAGGTGAGTTTCTGACATCTCACAGAGTTGCAAAAGCTCTGCTATGTTTGCCAAGCCTCTTTGTTACCCTAAAGGTAAATAGCATTACATTTGAAACTATTCCACAGTAAATAATAGAACACTAACTGCAATCACTATAATTCTGACAACGGCTTGCACACTTTAAAAAATGATTTGTTAATAACTGATTTGTTGAATGATTTGTTTGTCTTTAATTCTGTAGGTAGGTAACTGATTTCTCTGCAAGTTCTGCTTTAACTCAGTCTATTTCTTTCAGATACACATCAGCAGATCATTAAATACAGCAGAAATCTGACAATGTATGTCAAGTGGAAATGGGCTGGACAGGTACGTGAGCAAGATAAAACTCCTTTCACCTCAGGAGAATAGAGTTTGTGTCCTGTGTGGGACTGATGGTCTTTAGACTTTTAGACTTGAGCCATGTAAATTAGTGGATGAAGTTCAGGTTTGTATTAAAAGCTCTGTGAAACAAAATGTGACACTGACACAGTGTCCTGCAGAGGACCAGCTTCACTGTTTCAGGCTTCATATTTCACATGGCTGTAATTACCTGACAACAGGTCACCTTTACTGTCTGGGTTACTTCCTATGCAATAATGATAAGAAGAGATGATATAGAGCTCGTCTTTGGGGCAATCTGGGATTTATTCAAAAATAGCATCAACAGGAGGAGCTGTGATGTTCCAAAGTTGCCTACAGATGCACAACAGCTTGTACTGCTTGCAGATGAATACATATTTCAGTGCTAAGTGCAGCCTGAGAAGCAACACTGAGGGAAACACAGGTTCTGCTGAGCTTGTTAAGAAGCGAAGAGCCTGCTGATCTTTCCTCTGAGATTCAAAGCTTCCTTCTGTCAAGTTTCCTGGGTCGTTGACCCAGCGTTTTCAGTTTTGTCATGTTTGGTTTATTTTCCACATCCATGTTTTCACTTCCAGTTTTCTGTGCCAGCCTGTCCACCAGTGTATTATGTTCTAGTTCATTCCATGCATCATTAGTTAGTTCAGCCGTGTACTCACCTGTTTCCAATTGTCATCATTCAGCCTGTGTATTTAAGTTCCTCAATTTCACCAGTTCATTCCCATATGGAAAAGAAATAGTAAAAACTTATATGTGATTACTCATGAAAGTGGCCACTTTCTCAGTATCCAAAACATACAAGTTTCATTATATAATTTTTCAAGGGATCTTATATCTGTTTTCACTCTTGTTTGCTTTTCATACAAGTTTCACACAAGACAGATACAAACTTTATAAGATTTATATATCTATCTTTTCCATATGGGTTGTCGCGTCATTGATGTTGTCACTGCTGTCTATTCCGCGTTTGCCTTTCAGTTCAGATCAGTCAGTCATTCAGTTCAGTCATTTAGCCTGCTTTCTTCCCTGTTCTGTTCATCCATTCATCCTCCAATAAACACCCTTAATCCTCACCACGAGTTCAGCGTTTGGGTCCCCTCTTTTCCACATCCACACAACAACTCCTGACACCTTCAATCAAACCAACAACTTCCTCTTTGTTCCAGCTGCTGTCAGTGTTTGCCATCCTCCACCTGGCTCCTCTGCTGACAAGTTCCAAAGAGCTCATTCAGCCACTGGACTGCAACGACATCCACCAACAAGACAGCAGCCGACCCAGCGGCGTGTACACTATCTACCCTTTTGGAGAAAAGTCTGCAGTCGAGGTACAGTCCAGCCTCTGTAGGAGACAAAGCTAATGTTTGAGGCTACAAGGAGCTAAAAGGTGACATTAAGTGACACATGTTTGTTTGCAGGTGTACTGTGACATGGACTTAGAGGGAGGAGGCTGGACAGTGAGTTTTCTTTCTCTTTTTTTTCAGTTAAAGTTCCAGTCAAGTAACTTTTCAGTATGAATACTTCCTTCTGGAGGAAATTATAAAATCATAGCTCTGCTGTCTGAAAATTTCACTTCCTGACATTTTTCATGTTTATTAACTGGCCACACTGTCCCCTCTTCCAGGTGTTCCACAAGAGGATGGATGGCTCCTTGAACTTCTACAGACCCTGGAATCACTACAAGATGGGCTTCGGAAACCCCGATGGAGAGTATTGGCTTGGTGAGACTTTATTTTGTCTATGACAAAATCATTTAAATTAAAATCTGACCATTCTCAAACTGTTCAAACCTTCAGTCCTTCGCAGTGTTGTAAAGTAACGGAATACATATACCGCCGTCACATATTTAAAATACTAAATATGAGTAACTGTATTCTGTTACAGTTTCTGTTTAAAAAGGTGGTACTCAGAATACAGTTACTTTGTTGAAATAAATGGATTACACAAGGTCTTTTCCTGTTTCATATGTGAGACTATGCCCTCTCTATTTTTGGTAATTCCACGCTTCCAAACAAAACACGCTTTAAGAGGCTCTAATGCCTGTGTCTCAGTCTCGCGGCCCATGTCACCCCTACTTGCTGCATAATGACATGAAGCAATATTTTCAAAAATTATTATTCAAAAAATAATTTAATATGAAGGCAATATAAGCAGAGTGTTACAGGCAAAACCCTAAAGAATGTAGCCTCGAGAGAAAAAGGAGAGTTGAAAAGTACGAGTTTTCACCGAGTAGAAACAGGAGCTGGAAGCATGTAAATATAATAATAACCACTGCAGCCAAAAGGAGTGCCTGTGTAGCAGGTTGGAAAAAGCTACATGGTTATTTCTGTAAGAAAACCAATTACCCCCTTATTTTTTGTTTATTATTGTGACTTATTTTGACATTGTTATGTGTTGCCAGACCATGGTTATATTTCATTATGCCAGTAGATCCTGCTCTTGCACTGCTGTGGAACTACCGGAGAGACTCTAGCTGAGCCTCTACTGAGGCGTTGTAATTGGACTAGCTTCTTTGGCCTCCCTCGTCCACTGGCAGCTAGCCCTCGTCCTCTTCTCACGTCGTTTGGGCGAGGATGACACAGGTCGTCTCTGGGGGATGCCCTAATATTCGTGTCTAAATTTTGGGTTGGCATTGCATTCGGTGCAACCAAAGAATGCGTTGACCGCCGCGTCGCTCCCCCTGACATCAACGACCCTCACCGTTGGCCCACTTCCCAATGGTCGTGGTTGTCAGCTGGCACCGCAAGGAGGTGGTGATGGGGTTTTGCCAGCCAATCTCTGTATTGTACAATTTCTTTAAAGGCAGTTTGTTCCAGCAAACTCTATAATCGCAGATCACTAGGTATTTTACTGAATGATTTCCAGCTCTGTCAGCTTTTATACTTCTTCATTATCAGTGTGTGTTTGTGTGTTTTCAGGTCTTGACATCGTCAGTGCCCTGACATCCCAGCAAAAATCTGAGCTGCGGGTCGACATGAGGGATTTTCTGGGAAAGGAAGTGTTTGCTCGTTACTCTTCATTCAAGGTTGATGCTGAATGTGATGGATACAAACTGACTATTGCTGGATTCACTAATGGAGGGGCAGGTGAGTGAGGTGATACGGAGGTAAAGAATCTATGTAAAAGACAAATGATTAATGCATGTCAGTTTTACTTCTTGTCCCAGTCCTCACTTATTCCCTCATTGTTCTCAAATATTCTTGTCTCATCTGTTTCCTGTGACTGTGTATAAATAGCACCAGTCCTCCGGTTGTTCCTTGTTTTGCCATGCTGTACACGATGCCTGTGTGAATCAAGTTCACACCACATTAAAACTCTGTTTGTGTTGTGTTGTGTTTCTGCAGGGGATGGTCTGACTTACCACAACGGAATAAAGTTCTCCACCTTTGACAAAGATCAGGATGGGTCTTCCAGTAGCTGTGCTCAACTATACCTGGGGGCATTTTGGTACAACAACTGTCACCATGCAAACCCTAATGGTGTTTATCGCTGGGGAGCTATGAGCACTTATGGTGCAAGTGGAATGGAGTGGTACCACTGGAAGGGTTGGGGCTACTCCCTGAAGGCCATGAGCATGAAGTTTCGTCCCGTGCAGTAAATCTGCAGGACAAACATTCAGCAAAATTTTAGCAACTGCTTTCTGATGATTGATTTCTTTTCTCTCATTAATCATGTAACCTTTCTTTGAGCTTTATTTTCTTAAAGCTGGGCACAAGGAAAATCCACCAGTGCAGTACAGCTGACTCATGTTTTTGAACGAAGCAGTCAAATAAAATAAACCAGCAGCAGTTTTTCATACATCACCATAAATATGTTGCAATGACAGACGTGTGTGAAATCAAACAGCAGTAATGAATGAAATGCAGAGCTCCTGTGGTTACACATACACAACAACACACATATGGCTGCTTTGGTCGAGGCCATCTCACTCAAGTTGGACTTTATTAGTTGTAGAAACACCAGGAAGGAGTTCAGCTGCATTGAGACTGCCTGAGCTGCATCAGGAAAATAAAGCCCACCATCTTTAACTGTAGACAGAGGTCTAATACCTCATGTGAATCATTATCTGCTCACATGCTGACAATAAATAAGAAGCAAAGCAAAGACTTGTTTTTGTCTGATGTGCTCTCTTTGTCTCTGTATCTTTGTCTGAATTCTCTGGCTGATCATGAAATGCTGCCCTCTACTGGTCTCAGTCACAAACGTCCTTCTTCAGAAACGAAAATATAGATATTCAGACTGAGGATGCCTTTCATCAAACAGCTTATGCACACAGCAACACATATAGAAAAAACATGCAAAAGACAGGAACAAAAACACAATCCAGCAAAATAAAGCAAAATTAAGTGCTCCTCTAATGCACACATTCCAGAACAATAAATGTACAATTTCACAGATAAATGCGCAAACAATATAATTATTAGTAGTATTTGTATTATTGTGGAATTCACTATTATTGAAATAGTTCCTGTTATTAATGCTGCTGTGTGTATGACTGCCATTGTAAGAATATATGGATATACTGTATACACACAGATTATTTAACTGCTGTACTAATGTGGTGAGATACACTTACCAATAACAGCATAATCGCTTCCATAATTATCAATTAGAATGTGGTAATTTTATGTTTTTATGTGTTATATGTTATATAGGTTTGTTTGTTGTTGTTTTTTACCTCATTTTAAACATTTGAGAAAAAAATATCAACTTTGGCATTGAAACTGTCTTATTTATGTTTTGAAATGTAATCTGTCAATCATAAAACCTTATTTTCTATTACAGTGACCAAACACAAACAATATTCCCAACATGAAAACACTAATAACAAAAACCCAGAGAGCTCTCCATTCCAAATAACAAACAATATCAATATCATTTGTTCCCTCCTCAAATATTAGTGATGGGATTTCCGGCTCTTTTTAGAGAACCGGCTCTTTCGGCTCGGCTCACTAAAAAGAGCCGGCCCTTTCGGCTCCGAAGCGGCTCTTCAGGTTGTTTTGTTGGTTTAATTAATTTATTATTAACAACGATATAAAATTATGTACAAAAGGAATTACTAATGTAAAAAAAGTTTTATTTATATAAGTTTATATATAAATATATGCGGTGGCCCCAGAGACAAAGCACGTACAAATTCCAAAACACATTTCTAGCATTAATTGACCTTCCAAAGCAGAGCTACACAGATCACTTAAATTACACAACTGAAAGCGTGTGTATCGTTTGTGTATTTATACACAAGCACTCACATATATTCATATAATTTTAAAAAAATGTTCATTTACCTGTTACTACCACACAACAAATCCGGTCGTTGGTACTTGCTGGCTTGTGTAGCCACGAGGTAACAAAAGCTCAACACTGCCCCCTAGCATCCTGGAGCACTTCTGTTGTGTTTGTACGTGTTTATACGTGTTTTGGAGTTTTTATGTGTTTTGGAGTTTGTACGTGCTTATGAGTTTATACGTGCTTCGGAGTTTGTACGTACTATGGAGTTTTTATGTGCTATGGGGTTTTTGCAGAGCGTTCTCACTCCCGAGGCGTAACATGTCGACGTTTTGTCACGTCCCGCGGCGTTCCTGAGGAACGCGAAAGGAGACCTTCGGCGTTCTTATGGTACGCGGCGGGTTATGGCTGGAATCCAGTGCAATGACGCTCCCGCGGTAATAGACGTTCCAGCCCTGTATTCCAGCCCTAAACCTAACCTTATCCCTAGCCCTGACCATAACCTTATTCCTGACCTTAACCAGGACTTTAATGATGTTAAATAGCGTGTTTCTAAGCGATTTGAAGAAAAAGAGCGAACATGTGTAGGTTCAGTCCAGACGGTTCTCATATTTCCTCTTTTTCCGAGGTCGTCATTTAGGAACGTGGTGGGTAGCCAAAAACGTAATATGTTGACGATTTGTCACCTAGCGTAAAATGTTACGCTTTGGGAGTGAGAACGGGTTGCAGATATGGAGTTTTTAAGTGTTTTGGAGTTTGTACGTGCTTTGTCTCTAGGGGCCACTGTAAGTTTATGTTGTTAAATGAGTTTTGTGTCACTGTGCACAGAGAAAAACTCACCTGATGTAGTGGTAATGTGTTATTCACCACTAGATGGAGACAACCTGGCACAGGTATTTTCTCTACACACTAAATTTCACACTGAAAAGCATTGGTGGGAATTTTTGTTTACAGTAAGCAAAAGAAAAAATGTCTTGAGGTCTTTCCAGTGTTTTCAAAATTGTGTTTTTCAGATACACGTCAAAATTTCATACAGACAAACACACACACAAAACAACAAAATATGTCAAATTACACGTCTTATTCGTTTTTTGAGAATTTCACCACTTTTCGATTTCATGGAAAATAACTTGTGTTATTCATGACATGATATCATTTAAAATAACTTTGTCAGGCCAGTGAATAGCTGCCATATAAGTATAAATCTAAATCGTGCAAGTGTAATATAGAAAAAAACCACAAACAGTTGTGCTGTTTGTTCATAATAAATGGGTAGGGGTGCATAGTCAGTAAAGGCCACCAAGGCTCTGCCGAGCTCCAAACCACCTCTGCCACAGACAGAAGCATCAAAAATGTGCGCTGGGAGCTTCATGGCATGATTTCTACAGCCACACAAATCTATATGTATGTGGCCAAGAACCTTAGTCCATGTAGGGCATCTTAACACAGTTTACTTGTGTCAGTTAGGTCAGCTAGTGGGAAGGCAGAGAGGGCAGCCTTTACATTATTTTATTGTAGAGTGACAGGAAGTGCCTATGAGCTTCTAATCAGGCAGAAATATTGACAGAAGGAAATATTTAAAAATAAAAATTTAAATTTCAAAGGAAATACATTGATGAAAATCAAAGAAGAGAAAATATACGTGATGTTCCATTTTCCATTCTCCTGCTTCACTGCCATATATCCATCACCAGAGGGCTCCAATGACCTGCCTGCTGACAACAGAGCAAACCCCTGTGTCATGTGACCTGGCTGGAGTTGCAAAGCTGGACTCGGACCTGGCCCAGGCAAGTTCAAAGACAGTTGTGGTTGAGAGAGCAGGGAGTATAGTAGAGCACTGGAAGGATGAGGTGGAAACAGGAAGCGTGTAGATTCAGTGAATTTGGCATCCTCCATCTGTCTCCATGCTCTCTTTACTGGCCTTCTAAAAATCACTTCTAAAAACTTCTCCTGTAGCTGTGTAGCTGCTTTTGTTTAAATGTTTAGCATTTAGAATTCAACTTTACTGTCATTACACATGTCTAAATACAGGGTAACAAAATACAGTTTGCATCTTATCAGTAATAATAATAATTATAATAATGGATTGGATTTAATAAGAGCAAATATACAGATGTGCTACATATATACAGATGTATCATGTGAGGCAAACAGATCTACAGAGTGCTATGAATATATCTGCAGCAGTGGAAGCGTAGCTCTCTGAACAGACTACAATAGTGAACAGTGTAGGGTGACAGCTGTGGGGAAGAAGCTGTTCCTAAACCTGCTGATTTTAGTCTGAAGGCTCCTGTAGCGCCTTCTGGAGGGGAGGAGCTGGAGGCAGGATGAGAGGAGTCCCTGAGAATGATGCGTGCTTGGCATAGACATCTCTTCTTGTGGACATCCTCAATGGCAGGAAGTGGAGTCCCTGTGATGCGTTGGGCGGCTTTCACCACCCGCTGCAGTGCCTTGCGGTCAGCAACAGAACAGTTCCCACACCACACTGTGACACAGTTGGTCAGGATGCTCTCTATCACACAGCGGTAGAAGTTAACCAGTATGTCAGTAGACAGGTGGTTCTTCTTCAGTATCGTAAAGAAAAAAAGGCGCTGATGGGCCTTCTTGACCAGGCTGGAGGTGTTAGTTGACCAGGACAGATTCTCAGAGATGTGGGTCCCCTAGAACTTGAAGCTGGAGACCTGTTCAACAGCTGTGCCATTTATGTAGATGGGGACATGGGTGTCTGTCTTCTCCCTCCTGAAGTCCACAATGAGCTCTTTGGTTTTGCTGGTACTCAGGAGCAGGTTATTGTCAGACCACACAGCTAGGTGCTTTACCTCTTCCCTGTAGCCAGTCTCATCGTTGTCACTGATGAGACAGTCACCGTGGTGTCATCTGCAGACTTGATGATGGAGTTGGATCCATATCCAGGTCTGCAGTCATAGAGGAACGGGCTCAGCACACAGCCCTGTGGAGTGCCAGTGTTGAGTGTGATGGTGGTAGAGCAGTTGTGGCCTGACCTAACATGCTGGGGTCTGTTGGTCAGAAAGTCCATGATCCAGGTACAGATGGAGTTGCTGAGTCTACGAGCCACAAGTTTGGTGATCAGCTTGGAGGGAATAACTGTACTGAATGCTGAGCTGAAGTCAACAAACAGCATTCTTACAGAAGTATTGCATAAATATATGAGTACATGTTGCTAGAAACTGCATTCCCAGATCACATCCAGTGTGTGCTGGAAAATTTGCAACGATTCTACAAAAATGTTCCACGTGGTGTTTTTTTTTCTTTCCTTTCCTACTGGTGATGATCCAGTGGGGCTCCAGTCACTACAGGCTCCCTTGTGGTGCCACAAAACAGACTGCAAAAAAACTTGTGTGTCCATGACTGATCCTGCTGCTTCACTTCTGTATGAATTGATCTTTTCATGACTGTTCACTTTGGACAAGCAGGAAACAGAGGTGACGCTGACTTGTGGCTTCGCAGGGTGATTCCCTTTAACAACAAGAGCATGCACACAGTTTGTTTTAGGCCACCATGAATAGCTCACATTGTAAATCACAATGAGCCAGTATATGATACTGTAGCTTCCACTCACTGTGACAGGATGGCTCGTAGGAGGTCATTACACTCTGCTTCATTGGGTTCCAGTTCAGATTAAGGGACAACACATGGAAAGACAGAAACTGGGAACAAATGTTTGAAAAATATTTACTGTTAGAAAACATTCAGTGAACAATATCGATTTTTCTGTTTGGCAAACTTCAAATCTGAGTCTCCAAAAGCCAGTCAGACAATAGAGTTGGTATAAACAGAGAGAGGAGATGATGCTTTTTTTAGACAGAAGAAGGGAAATATTTAGATTCACTTAAAAGGATAATTCTCTTTTTTTTAG